CCCCCCAAACCCCGGTGGGGGCCCCCCCAGCCGAAGCAGCCGCGGCTCAGAGGCAGGTAGACTGGTCACCACCTCCCGCTGCAAACCCACTGAAGAGGCATTTCACAACCTTCAGCTCATGCCAGCATCACGAGGTGACGAGGGCCAGATCCCTTTGGAAGGATCTGTCCCTTTTCCAGCCTCCTGCCCACAATCCTGGGAGGAGAAGCTCAACACCTGGAAAGGCTGATGCAGGGATGTTGTTCCAGTACTGCCAGGAGCTGGTGGCACTTAGCTGGGACTGAGAGCCCCTACAAGGGAAGGCGGGTGGCCAGGCACTGCCAGGCACCCCAGCCGTCCCCATGGCTGGATTTGAAGGTGCGGGCAGGAGGCCGGAGAACCTGGAGACATCCCTGTGCACGGCAGGGACCGACATCCGCAGGGGCTCCATGGAGAGCCTGGGAACAAGTCACTCGGTGCCACCACCTACCACAGCATCACCAGGGGATCTGCTGCTCTCCAAGCTTGACATTTCCCCAGGACTTGGAATAACAACCACCTTTCCTCCCCTTTCTTGGCCAAATCTGGTGCAGAGAGGTATCCAGCTGCCCAACAGCCCCCGGGCAGCCTGGGCTGTCAGAGCACAGAGGCTTCCCTGGCCGGGCAGCGCCCTTTGGACCTCTGGGGACCATCCACCCGCTGGCGGGGCTGCTCCGCAAATATTTATTGAGGTGGATGTGTGCGAGCACCCTCCCTCCCACACCCCTTCTCGGGGCACGCAGGTAACCAGACTACCAGCCCAGGTAGGAGGCTCTATTAAACAATGCTAATAAATACTTTATTTACCAAAACCACATTAAAATACTCTTAAGACTGTCCTGTCTCGCCCGGTCCCTTCAGTAGTGGCTCACAGCTTGAGGATCCCAGAGAAGGCTTAGAGAGCTCACGCAGCAGCACCAGCTTCATGGCCAGCAGGACCTCCCGGTGGCTGAGGTGGCTTCTTCTGCCGCAGCGGGACAGCCGGGCGGCCTCCAGCGCCACGTCCCCAAGCAGCCGGGGGCTGCCGAGCCAGGCAAGGGCAGCAGCCGCCAGGCAGGAGGCTCCAGTGGACCACGTCTGCAGGGACGGCAACCATCAGAGCGTCAGCACAGCCACCCATGGGGCAGCACGGCTGGAGGAGCTGCCTGCAGGCACAGGTCCGGCAGAGCTCCCCCAGCACCATCCACCACCCCTTCATTTTAAGTCAAAAACTTCCAGATTCAGCTAACACACAAGCACCCAGGCTTGGATACAGGGATGCCCAAGCTGAGCTTGGAAAGGAGGTGGTTGCACCCAAGCCCAATCAGGACATACCTGGTTTAAGAGCTTATGGATGTAGGAGGAATAAGCCACCTTCTTCTTCTGCCTGCGGGGACGGAGGCAGAGGAGGCTCTGCCAGGCCTGCCCAGCTGCTGCCTTCTTCCTTGGGAGGGCAGGGGGACCAGGCTCCATCGCTGCTGCCTGCACACGGAGCTGGTTTCACACACACTTGCTGCAGCCCCGACGCCTCTGCTGCGGGAGAGCGGAGCACCAGCAGCAGGGTCCTGCCTCCACACCAGGGTCCTGCCTCCGCACCAGGGTCCTCCACCTTACCCTGCATTTCCCAGGGCATTTACAGGCATTTAATTAGCATCACGCAAATTAGGCACTTGCAATAACACAAAAAATATTCAGCACGTTGCATAAAACAAGACCAGAAAACATCCTCCCCACAGAGCCAAACACCCCAGAGAAGCAAAGCACAAATAGGGTATTTTAGGGTTGTGGGATTTATTTCCCCCCCACTCACCTCCAGGAGCTCCCCCAGCCCCAGCCTCCCCCAGGAGCAGACAGGGAGCCAGGACCTGCTGCCTATAAGCAGGGGGGTTCATTGCTTTCAGGTGAGGGCTGCAGCCCATCAGCACCCGCCGGGCTGCGGGGACAGGGACAGGGACGGGGACAGGGACGGGGACAAGGGCAGGGATGGCCACGCCACCTCGCACCCACACCCACTGGCTCCTACACCCAAACCAGCAATTCTTGCCCAAATTGCTCTTTCGGGTGAGGCTGTGCCTGCTCCCCGGCCCCCCCTGCCCTTCTTGCCCTAATTAGCCTCATTAAGCTGATTAGCCCGGGGTGGCCGCTCTGCGGTGGTACCCGCGTGTTCTGCTGGGAGGTTCTTGCGTGCTTTTATTCTGCATTTATTGGGGGTTTCTGGGGGTTCTGTAAGCGCCACAGTGAGCAGGGTCTGGGGGGGCACCCAGGGGTGCTGGGGGCAGGATCTGTCCCTGTGCAGTGGGACCCTGGGGTGGGGGGATCCCCAGGTGCAGGATCTGGCCCTGTGCTTGGGGATCTTGGGGTGGGGGTTCTCCTGGGTGCAGGATCAGGTTCTGCCCACTGGCACCCTGACGTGGGGGGTCCCCAGGTGCGGGATCTGGCCCTGCCCAGGGGGATCCTGTGGTGGCTGGGTGTCGTCTGGCTTGCAGGATCGGGCCCTGTCCACTGGGATCCTGGAAGGGGTGTCCCCAGGTGCAGGATCTGGCCCTGTGCTTTGGGGTCTTAGGGTGGGGGGTCCCCAGGTGCAGGGTCTGACCCTGTGCTTTGGGATCTTGGGGTGGGGGGATCCCTAGGTGCAAGATTTGGCCCTGCTCACTGGGATCCTGGGGTGGCTGGGTGTCCCCTGGTTTGCAGGACCTGTCCCTGCCCAGGGGGATCCTGGGATGGGGGTTCCCTGGGTGCAGGATCTGTCCCTGCCCAGTGACACCCTAAGGTGGGGAGGGTCTCCGGGTGCAGGACCATGTTCTGTGGCGCAAGGCGTTGGGCTACAGCAAAAGGAGAGGGGGCAACGGGTGCTGGCCCCATCCTGAGGGGGCTGAGTGTTTGTGTGTGGGGGGGGGTCCCGGGGGTGCAGGATGCGGCCCCCCTCGGTGCAGTGCGCGACTCTCGCCGGCAGAGGGCGCCCTCGCTCCCGCCCGCCCTCAGCGAGGGGCGGGGCTGCGTCCTCGGGGCGGGCCAG